GTGTGGAAGTTCTGTTTTGTGAATGCTAATATCCTTTACTATTGACAGTGGAGAAAAATTTATGACAAACAGGTTCTTTTTTTTTTTCAAATCATGCACTGTAAGTAACAAGATGGTTTGCATTGTGAGAAGCCAATCCATCCATCAACCAGTTGCCACTCTTTGTAGCCATAGGCCAATACCACTTAGTTGCTACATATGTTAATAGAGCTGATTATTTTGCACATATGGTATGAACAATAAAAAAATGTAACCAAATATAAAGCCTATCATAAATGTCAATACAGCAGATTAATAAAATGGGGGCTATCCAGCATATCAACAAGACCTAATTGGCCACAAATCATTGTAACTAGAGAAAACACTGGGGAAAGTGAGAATATGTAGAATCCAGCTTGGCCTAACTTAGCCAGTCATTCACAGATCCTTCTGTTAACATTACAGTTGCTTCTGCCATAGAATCCAGAGCCAACTGCAAAACATGAAGGATGGGTTCTGGCTACCTTGATGAAATCATGGTGAATTCTCTCTCTCTCTCTCTCTCTCTCTCTTCTTTTCTTTTCTTTTCTTTTTTTTATAAAGTATATGTAAGTACATTCTGGACTTGCTTGTACTCATTTTCCTTGTCAGTCTTCTGTTTTACAAATGAGAATCAAAGAGAACAAGGTGACCCAAACTCCCCTAACGAGAAAGGATTTCAGTCATGAGTGATGCACTTTCATTAACAGACAAGCAGTTCTCTGCTGCATCGAATACCAGTGCATCCCAGACCAGCAAGAAACAACCAAGCAAAATGTTTCATGGGAAGAGTTGCTTTAAGCATCCTTTCTTTGGAAAGGTGCTAGATAACATACTACAATAATGCGATGAACATTAATTCGAAACAGCAGGAAGATTGAGAAGGTGTTTAGCATCAGCACAAGCTCCTGTCCCACAAAAACACTGAAGTCTTGCCTGCAGCTCATGTGCGGTGCTACTCCTTTTCCGGGTGTGCCAGCTAAACCCTTTTCCTCGTTCCCCACAGGCTCAGCAGTGGCAACCCAGCTATGCTGCGCTCCTTGATTTGGGTGGGCCATCAGGGAAAATGGGTGCTGAATGCTTGCTGCTCCCCCAAAGGCAGCATAAAGCCCCTTGTACCTATGGTGACCTGTGAGAAAAACCCTCTTTTTCCAGAAACGATGCCCTGCTTTGTCACTCTTGCGCACAGCAAGCTGTGGAGCATATTTTTAAAAACACCTCTGAATTGGCAATTGTTGTTGCTTCGTCTGGGTTGAAGTCTGCTTTAGAAACATGTAGTAGAGGCATAGCTGTTCCTTCTCCTTTTTGCCAACCCAGTCAAGAGCAGAAAGGGGCTTCAATGACCATAGAAAAACTACAGTCTACACATTGATTTGAGAGTGGACTCCATGACTCTGCAGAACTTACTTCAAATTAAGCATGCGCAGGATAGGGCTGATTATAGTGCCTGTTAAACTCATCTGTTCCTTTTTGTTTTGCTTTGCTATGCTGCTGCTTCTGACTGATTTCTAAGTTACACATTCCACCCAATTCAGATCCAGTTAAGCAACAAGAGGTCGTAATTCTCAACCTTTCCACAAGAATTGATTGCTCTCTTAACTTGCAGGAATCAATTATTCATTTTTCAGAATTTCACCAGCTCATAATAAATTGGGTTGCTTGTTTCTTCATCCCATGCCCGGAGATACTATTATTATTTTTTTAAGCCCTGGATAAGAAAGAATTGATTTTATTATTAAGATGCTAATCAGACTGTAGATAGAGCGCTAAAGTGTGCTATTGTCACAGCAGTCCGTTCTTCATGCTCCTGCACTGGGTCATTTGCTCTCAAATTATTCAGAATGATGCTGTGCAAAAGGTTTGTGCAACATTGCAGTCTATGACAAGGAATGCTGCTGTTTCATTTAAAAGTGCAGAGGCCCTTCCATAAATGCATATGGGCTGAAATCCAGTACGTAGTAGGTTGTCACTAGAGTAGGCTGACAAAGTCAGTGGGAAGTTGGTGAGTCAGCTCCTCCATAATTTCCACCGATTCAGTAGGCCTACTCTAGCAGTAGCTTAGGACTGGATTGCAGCCATTATCAACAACATTGCTGAGCCTTATTAGCTACATAAAGATGGTCATATATTGGCTTAACAAGTCCAGATACAAATCAACCTTGTGGGCTTGCTTGTATCTGTGGTTTCAGTTGCTGGTTTGTTCCAAATCAATAATAATAGCTGCTCAGCTTGGATGAAATGGTAAATTACTTGAAAAGTTCCTGTTTGTCATAATGTGTTGAGAAGAGGAAAGAAAGGCTAGCACAAAAGCAGAATAAACAATCAACATTCTTGTGTGGCTTGTGATTTTTTTGTATGGCTTCTGACGACAACAAAGACATGACTGTCAGAAAGCAGCCGTGTTGTCCAAGAAATCACTGGCAGCCTCCCTCTATGAAAGCTCCCTGGATATACATTTATTCAGAAGATCTTCTGACAGATAAATGCATTTGGCTTTCAGAGGTTCTGTATAGATTGCTAAAATTGAGGAAGAAGCTTGCAGACATTTCACATGAAATTTCTTCCAGGAAATGCTTCTGTTTTGTCCATTTAGCAACTAAATGTGATTCCTTCTCTAAGGAACCATCTTT